CAGAACATCCCACAGCACCACAGAGACACTGTCACCCCCTAAACAGCAGGAAGTAATTCTAAGAAAACTATGCCCCCTCTCTCAAAGTTTCATTTTTCTCAGGGTTATGGATGGATGGTTATAGGGTTGGGGTGGAGCAATAAAATTTAGACTCAGTATTCTCCTTTAGAAAAAAAAGGGGGAGGAATAGATAGGTATAGAATATTAAGGTAGATTATTGTATGGACTAATAAACTGATTTAGCAAACTATCAGTCTTGGATAATTTGCACTGATATAGACTCTTATATATTTGATACAAATGTAAATTATTCCTATATTCCTATTTAAGATAATTTGTATATTGATATAAATACAAAACTATATTTATTGTATTATACACATATTCTTACTCCTGTTTGAAATATTTTATATATTGATACAAATGTAATATTAACCATACTATATGTATGTTCTATCTCTGTTTAGGATATTTTGCATATTGATACATATTAAGGATATTGTTGTCATTGCATATTGCATTATACATTTCTACCTCTGTTTAAGATATTTTGTGTAATGTCACAATTTTAAGGTCATTGTCCTTATATTGTACATCTGTTTACAGACTGTTTACCTTGTTAATGTGAAGCCGTAGTCCTTAGGTTATTTAGGTAGAGAAGACTTACAGAACTATTGTCACTCATGCTTGTCATTTCTATAGTTATGTTAGTTAAGTTGTCCAGATTTAAAGAAACATAGGTCAGATGGATAGGTAATCTTCAAAACTTCAAGACCTAGAGAATATGACATTTAAATGTTTTGATAACTCAGAATTCTGTTGACATGAAATATGATTGTTCCTGGCAGCATGGATCTGATCCTGAGAGAATGTTGGGCTTCTAGACATTTCTGTTTGGAGTTTGTCTCCTTCTTGTTCTAAATTGGCCTGCTGGACAAATAACTGCCCTTGCCTTGACTGCTTACAGATGAACACTGTCCTTTCAGGAGCAGGACACAAGGAAAAGCAACTACTGAATTCTGCCAAGACAAGGTAAGATGGCCTTTCAAAATTTCTGCTTCTGAAAATTGTCTGCCAGATATTCTAGGCCTGTAGCCAAATTGGATGCCCCTACAATGCTGAGAAACTTTAAGTGACTATCCAGGCTGCCAGCTGTCTCTGTCTATTCTTGCAAGAATTTCGGAAATTGCTTGCTTGCATTTTCTGTTTTTCCAGGCATTATTTTCCTTCTCAAGTCTTTGATGGAGTTGAAGACTAGATAGTTACAGTTACAATCTTCTTGTATCTAAGCTAGAACAGATTAGTACTAGAGTTAGAATCTTCAAGATAGGACAACAATTAAAGTAATCTCAGTAACTTGACATTAACCTATGTTCTGGACATTTCGGGACATTTAGCATTTCTTTCTTGTTTGATGTTATTCCTGTTGGTGGTAGTTCCATGTTTGTTTATGTTATTACCCTTTGTTTTTCCTGGAAAATACTTGATAATCATTTTTATTGTATATAGTTTGCATTAAGTTTAAAACCTTCTTTACTAGACAAAAAGGGAAAACGTAGTAGTATTTGCTCTTCCCATGACCTTGGGATACGGCCCGAAGGAGGTGGTGCTTCCTTCCTTTGTACAAGACCTCTCAAAAGGAGAGGGAGTATGGTCACATGCCCCTTCTCCCTGCTCCTGCCTGTAAAGTGGATTTGCTCCTGGTCAGATCAGAGGACTACTCCAGCTGTCTACTCTGTTCTGTATTCATGAGTGTATTTCCTCAATTTACCTTAATAAATTTCCCTAATACTTCTTAAAACAGATTCCCGTGGATTTATTGCTTTATTGAGGGCTGTGTAAGTTTCTCCAGTAACTGTGTAACAGCTGCCTGATGCAGGGATAGGTAGCTGCTACTTCACTAAAACCACAAGCTAACTAATATTAACTCTATATAGCCCAAGCTTTTCTTGGAAGTCACAAATCTTTACTATATGCCAGAGATCAAACTAGTTATACTGGACAGATCTACCATTGTGGTTACTGTCTAGATAAAAACAGAACCTTAATGTCTCCCAGTCCATCATCTCAGAATCTTTTTCCCGAACCCTTAAGTGAAGGAAGTGTTCTTTAACATGGGAGGAATGGATTTTAGGTGTCTGTACAGCTACTAATGAAGAATATATGAATACACTGGTAGAAATTATAAGTCTACAGTCTAAACTAGGGATGGTGACATTTTCCAGTACTTTAGAGATGATATGGACACCAATTTACAATTTTGTTGCCCAAATTTCTCAGGGATTTAATGTTTTATGGTTGTCCTGGAGCTCCAATATCTTGAGATGCTAACTCTACATTGCCTTTAGCTCTTTTTGGAGTATACCTCAAAGTATCAATAAGTGTAATAATTATTGGAAAGGAAAGCCTTCCACTTGTATGTAGAGGCAGTGCAGCAACTGAGTATTTCTGTGAGCTCAGCAATTAAATTAAGTCAGCAGACCCGTAAACAAACATGAATGAACTGAAAGGGAGAATTATTTTTCATTATATAAAACAAAAAGTTTCATTTTCTGATAAATGCATATAAGACTGCCTTTCAAGACAAATTTATTTCTACCTCATGTTATATAGGTACTACAAAACATATAGTCCATAGTTAATGGAGATTCTAAAATATTTAATTATCTGTTGAACCAAGCTATGAAATAAGATTTTGCCAGCTATAGACAGAACAATCTATGGCTAGAATCCTTCACCTGGTGTCAGAAAAAATCTGATCAAACACCTTGTATAATTTATATCCCTCTTCTCCACGCCCTAGAAGGAATTTTAAGAAAGCCTGTATTGTCTATCATCCATTATTTCAGAACCAAGGTAGCACAATGTAGAGTTAGCACTTCATTATCTAGGAGCTGTTGGACAGAGTGGATCACCACACATTAAATCCCGGGGAGACTGTGGCAACAGCATTGTAAGTTGGGGTCAGTATCATCTATGTCTCCAAAATACTAGAAAATGTCACTTATTCCTTGTTTGAAGTTAATCATTTTCAACCAATTTCTCATATGCATTGTTTTGGGACCTTTTTTCTACTTGCTTATCAGCCTTTCCTAAGTCGATCTTGCATTATTTCCTAAGCAACTGAAACAATAAGGCCTTTGTCATCCCTCAGTTTCCCCTCTCTAGTGAGCATGAATCTTTAGATAACCTAGAGTGGGAATCTGGGCCCAGTAGAAGAGTTTGGCATATAACAGCTGAATTTGAGGAACTTGATTTTGGAAATGAAAGAGACCCACAAAGGCATCCTCATTCTATCTCAAAGGTTCAGGTGAAGAAAAAGGTGGGGATAGGAGAGCTAAGGGCAGAAGTGGAGCCTGAATGACAGTCAAGGAAAGAGCCGAGAGCCTGTGGGTATCTAGCAAGTCATCCACACAGATCGCCAGCTGGGGACTTGGAAAGGGAGAAGGGAAGCAGCCACCCTTCCCAGCCTCACTTCCTCATCCTCAATCCTTGCATTGTCAATTTGCATTTGCAGCTCTGAATTCCTGATCTTTGTACAAGGATTTCTGCTGAAGCCTTTAATAGGTTAAAAACAAAAACATACAGCTCTTGATTCCAGAAGATTTGGCTATCTTCTCTATCAGACTTTTCCCTAGCCCAAGGGATTGATAGTAAATTAATCCTGACAAAATTTCAACACTGAAGATAGTGTGTATTCCGATAACTTACAATACACTTTGACTTTTGTGCTTACAATTAAATATAGCATTTTAGAAATGCCTTAGTCTTACTGCCACACTGTTAAACACTAGCATCTGCAGCCAGCTTTGTGGGTAGCTAGGTGTCCCCACATTTTACAAGGAAGGAGAGGACAAGGAAGACACAGTCCTCACTTTTGTCTATGGTTACCAGCAGATCTGTCTAGAAATACACCCAAAAGCAGAGAGCCAAGAAGGGGCTTCATAGTGAGGCGGTTGGTTAACTAACATGAAGTAGGTCCATGTGGTGGTCTATCATGATTACAGATTTACACTCAAACAGTTTCCTTCTGCTTTCCAACTGAATTGTACAAAAATGCTACATATGCCAAAGATAAAGTAAAACTCATTTAAAACAATCTCAAATTACCACAGATTTAATTTTACTGAGATTGATTACATGATTTATCTACATATATATTGAGGTATAGACCTGAATATATCCTTCTCACTACTGAAAAAAATCAAAAGTGAGTTAAAGATATCCATATTTATGACTCCTGCTTTTTATCAGGTTTTTAATGATAGCATGGTTTGTAGATAAAACACTTCAGTGTTGGGCTTAAGCCCAGGTAGCTTAGCTGGCTTGTGTGCACTATGTCTACTCCTTGGGAATGGGTACAGCTCACCTCTCATCCCTAGCCTGAGAATCCAATCTATAAATTAATTGTAGTATGCAAATTAAAGTTTAAAAAGAGTGCAAAGACACCAAAGGAGTTAATGTAATGGAATAATCAGTTTGAAATATGAAAAGCTTATTGTACTCCATAATTAATTTCCTGTGACTGATGCAGAAACTTCGTCTCAGAAGAATTTAAAAAATGACAATCTAAAAAAATCATTTAAGGCCGGGCGGTGGTGGCGCACGCCTTTAATCCCAGCACTCGGGAGGCAGAGCCAGGCGGATCTCTGTGAGTTCGAGGCCAGCCTGGGCTACCAAGTGAGCTCCAGGAAAGGCGCAAAGCTACGCAGAGAAACCCTGTCTCGAAAAACCAAAAAAAAAAAAAAAAAAAAATCATTTAAAAAGTGCATTCCTTAGTTGATTTTACTACATTGCCATTGGAAAAGCTTTAAACTCCCATGGCTATTTTGTATCCACAATTGCTTTGAAAAATATCATATTTCAATTTAAAAGCATACTATGCATTGTTTTGTTTTTATAAGTCCAAATGTAACTATGTTTTAAAATCTGAGATAAAAAATTTACAAGAAGTAAGAGAAACTGCAAAAAGAATAAAGTTTTTATGTCACTGTACCTACCTTTAATGTGAGACTGTAATGTCCAACAAATGTTGCACTTATCCATGCTGTTGAGTGGGGGTCACCCAGAAATTCTATGTGATACTTTTCAACATTTCCATCCTGGTCATAGGTCACATATTTCCCTTTGAAAGGATCAGGACAAAGTATTCCTGGCCAACTTTCAAAAAAAAGTTAAAATAAGTTTGATTCCTTTAAAAAAAAAAAAGTAACTCATTGACACATCTGTCACAATCAAATATTGAACTTATTTCTTTCAATTTAAACAACTTCTACAACATAAATTTATTCCTACTTACACCTTTCAAGGATAATAAACAAGTAATAAATTGCATCTTTGTAGCAATAAAATGTTTTGATACGGTCACAGACAAGATGAAAAAGAATTCTAAAAGAAATGATACCCAGAATCCATATGAAACATTTGGACACAACTGACAGGCAAAAAAAGAGAGAAAAGATACATTAAATTTTCTGTAGAATTGAATTAATGCTAGCCACAAAAAATGATGAGCTACCAAAATACTAACCACTGACACAGCGTCTGCCAAAGTGAGAGAAAGCTATGTGGATGGATGATAGACGATAGATAGATAGATAGATAGATAGATAGATAGATAGATAGATAGATAGATCAATAGGTAGATAGATAGATAAATAGATAGATAGATAGATAGATAAAGATAGATTGATAGATAAGATAGATGATAGATAGATAGATAGATGATAGATAGATAGATAGATAAGATAGATGATAGATAGATAGATAGACAGACAGACAGACAGACAGACAGATAGATAGATAGATAGATTAGATATTATAGACAGATGAGAGATACATAGATAACAGATAGGTGATAGGTAGGCAGATAGGTGATAGGTAAATAAGTGATGAACAGATAGATGATATGCCAGATAGACATAGATGATAGCTTATAGGTAAATGATAAATTTTAGATAATAAATGACAGAGTTATAAAGCAATGATAGCCTAAAGATAAATGATAGGTAATAGATTATAAATAGATGATAGATACATAGCTATAGGCAAATAGATAACAGATAGATTAACAGGTGACAGGCAGAAAAACAGCTCACTGCTCCAACCGTGTTAACACTGTAGAGGAAGAAAAGGCAGAACTTTAGCTCCAGCATTCTAAACTGTTCCTCCCCTCGATCTGCTCAGTTGACAAGTCAATACTTTGCTAAAAAAAATTCACAACTCTAAGTAAAATTTTATTTTAAAAGATCTTTAAAGATATATTTAGGAGCTAGAGAGATGTCTCAGTAGTTACAAGCACTGGCTGTTCTTCTAGAGGATCTGGGTTCAATTCTCAGTACCCACATGGCAGCTCACAGCCATCTATTGGAACTCCAGTTCCAGAGGTTCCAATGTCCTCTCTCCTAGCTTCTGCAGGCACCAGGCACACAAGTGGTACAGAGACAAAACACCCACACATAAAGTAAAATTTAAATGTAATGTTTATTGGGACAGAAATCTCTACAGAGCTCATTTTTCCCTTTGGACACTCAGTTCCCACGTCTATAGCTTTCTATTTTTCTACTTTCTATCTAATTTTGATTTCTTTTAATCATTGCTTTTTAACTATAGGGGTGTGTGTGTGTGTGTGTGTGTGTGTGTGTGTGTGTGTGTGTGTGTGT